TTAATAATATTATATATATATTTTTTTTTGGGGGGGGGGGGGGGGGGGGGGGGGGGGGGGGGTTTTGGGGGGGTGCACCCCGGGGGGGGGTTTTTTTGGTGTTTTTTCTTTTTTTTTTTTTTTTTTTTTTTTTTTTGGTTTTTCCAGAAAAAAAAAAATAAATAAAAAAATATCTCCATTTTTGTTTCACCCAAAAAAAGGAGAGAAGTAAATGTCTCTCTCTTGTTGTGGTCTAATCTGTGTCGTGCACTAACTTCTTTTTTTGTTCATATGTTATATTAGTAGTTTTTTTTTTTTTTTTTTTTTTTTGTTTTTTTTTTTTTTGATTTTTGTTGTTAGTTATTATTTTTTTTTTATATTTTTTTTTTTTTTTTTTTTTGGGGGGGGGGGGGGGGGGGTGGGGGGCGTGGGATTGGCTTTGGGTGGCTTAACCCTGAAGGGGATTTTGTGTCGTATTGTTTTCCATTTATGTTATGTTTACATGTATGTACCTTATCAGCAAATAAATAAATAATAAATAAACATTGCCACATTTTTGTCACTCCAGATAAGAGGAGCAATGAATGCTGTCCTTCAGTTGTTGGATTCACTGCCTGAAGGCCATAAACCTGTTCTTGTCACTCATAGCAGTGGCAATCATGCACAAGCTCTTGCACTTTCAGCAAAAACTATGGGACTTGAGGCTTACATTGCAATGCCATTAAATGCACCACTAGTGAAGAAAGCTGCTGTTCGGGGCTATGGAGCAACAATTGTTGATTGCGGAAACTCTGCTGAGGTGTTGCTTCTTATTTGTAGTTTTAGTTAGAGTTAATTAAAAAGGGTGGGAGAACATGCACAGGGGAGACCAATTATTAATGTCTGTTTTTCAGAGATGTCTATCTTAAAGAGGTGTTCATTGCTGTGTATGGCTTATAATAACGAGTTCTTTTCCTGGTAATGGGGTTGAAGCTGAGAGAATCCACCACTTTTCCTTCTTTTTCTCTTCTCCCTCCACTTATAGACACTATGTGTGATTGTAGTCTGTACTGCCCCAGTGTTAATTTTTGTGGGGAGAAGGGTTAAGGAAGGTGCATGAGGGGAAAGGTTATGGATTAAACAGTAATTTGATCGATTAAGTCACCTTGCAGACTGGTCAACTATACAAAACAAATTATGGTTAACAGAAAGCTAGTAGCTTATGTGAGTTGAAATATCTCACATGCATGAAATGTCTCTTCTTAATTAATCCAAAACCATAGTCAGGAGTGAATCTACTTTTTAAAGGTACATATATGCCATTATTAGATAGTCTCTTGTGGTAAAATGAAATAGCTGAAGCCTTTTGTTTTATATTCGCAGGATAGGGCATCAACTGCAGAGAAAATTGTAAAGGAGACAGCTAATTCGTTCCTCATTCCACCATTTGACCATCCTCACATCATTGCTGGCCAGGGAACCATTGCTGTGGAACTACTAGATCAGGTTTGAACCTTCAATCAAGCTTCTATAGCCTTAGCTAAATTATAACTGCAGTGGCTGAGCTGCCACCATTTCTTTATAATTTTTAAATTATGTACGGGTACTTTCTTACATCCGTAGAATCTCAATTTCTCAGGCCCTTGGTTTTTGAAAAATTCCTGATAATTCGAACCAAATGTAAATTCCCTTCACCAGTCAAACATTGTAATTTTAGCCTTGAATTTTCAAACCTCCTGATAATTTCAATCAATAATTGGCTTTTCCCCAGGTGGTGCAAATAATAGGGAGTCCGCTGTTACAGTAACTGAGAACTTATTCTAATTTTTGTGTTGTATGAATTTCCATCAGAGGTTACTTGAAGGAGTAATCTTTTTTTCACAATAACTGAGTGATTTCTCATGCGCTGATTGGTCAAGAGCTATGTTTGGAAAGAGTACAGACCATGGACATTATGTGTTGGTTGCGCAATTTGTCTTTCTCTTCCAAGTACCTGCAATTTTCCGAGAAACTTCAACAGAAATGGACATAAAAAACTATCAAATGTTATGGTAAAAACAAATCGGCAACAATTTTCCATGGTGTATACTATCAAAAAATGATGTCAAAATGTTTAAAACTTTGCAGTAAAACCACTCGCCTATGGCTCATGGTTCCACAGACGTTTTAAACATGTTAACGTCATTTCTATGGTTGATAAGAGTACAGACCATGGAAAATTGTTGTCGATTTGTTAAATGTGGATACATGTATACATGCATGTGCCTAAAGACTCCAAATTCTTTGTTTACAACCCCGTTGTACATCATGTATCCATTGGAAAATCGTACGTTATGGTACTTATTTCTAAGAATTTAGCTTTTCTTGTCAGGCAACTGTGTGCATGGTCTTCTGATTTGATATCACAAGTTCTCATGGCAGGTTCAAAACTTGGATGCCATCGTGGTTCCTGTTAGTGGTGGTGGAATGCTCAGTGGGATATGTGTTGCTGCCAAAGCACTGAAGCCTGACATTAAGATTTATGGTGCTGAGCCTCTCAATGCAGATGATTGTGCAAAGTCATTTGCAGCCAAGAAAAGGATTCCTCTTCCAGGTGTGTGCTTAGAACCACCTGTAGCAGCAATAACCTGCAATAAATAATTTTATTAGGAAGTTAGAGTTTCTAAGAGGCAGAAGTGTGATCTATTCAGTCAGTTTAAAGCAAAGCAGTACCTATACTGTAAAAATGCTGGTTATAAGCTCCCCAACTTCTAAGCTCCCCTAACTCAAGGCCTATGTACCATAAACCAAAAAATACATCTGATTTTAAGCCCCCCTCCAAGTGTATTAACCCTTTAAGCCCTAAGGGTGATCAGCATCAAATTTCTCCTTGTAACATCAATGCTTTGTAAAACAGAGTGGTCATGAGAATTACGGACATGATCACACAAGATGAATTTGCTTGATATTTTATCAACTTCTCCCCACTACTTCTGTAGCAAATGAATAGGGGCAGCAAATGAGAATTCAAATTTTGATCTTAGGGTTTAAAGGGTTAAAATATATATTCAGTTTATTTTGAGATTTTGTAGCTTATAATTAAAAACCAATGTATTTTGATTAGCACTGTTATAACTTGCTTCAAAGCGCTTGTTCTATTCTAGTTTTAAGTCCCCCTGAGATATAAGCCCTCGTAAAACCCCTTATAAAGATACGTATAAGCTTAGGGCTTATAACTGGCAGTTTATGGTAAACACCAGTCACTGACCTGCAGTCACCTCCAAAGTAAGGTCTTCTATTTTAAAACAACAATAACAACAACAAAAAGATGCCTTACCTCTTCCCCCTACCCTATATTCAGACTGTTAAATCTTAATCATGGAAAAGGTATTGATCTTTAAGGAAATTCTCCACATGACTACTATTTTACTGATCTTTTCACAAACATGCGAATTCTGAAATTTAAAAGTCAACTGACGATTGCATTCTTCGCTGTCATCAATCATCTTAATGGACCTCTTAGGAAACAAAACTATACTTTAACAGGTTCAAAAGGATGTGTTTTCTGATTTGTGATTAATGGATTTTGATCCGTTTTGTGTGTTTCAAGTTTCATTGCTTGTGATCGTAATTATGATTGACAACAGCGAAAAACGCAATTGTGAAGGCGGCTTTTGAACTTTAGAGTTCGCATGTTTGTGAAAAGCGCAGTAAACATATTGAAAAACAGTGTGAAGAATATCTTCAATTCAATTAGACCTTGAACGTTAAAGAAACATGTAAAACTTTATCCTCAACAGGACCTCCTGACACAATAGCTGATGGATTGAGAACAAGTGTAGGTCACTTGACGTGGCCAATCATAAGAGACAATTTGACTGATGTCATAACTGTAACAGAAGAAGAAATAATCTCAGCAATGAGGCTGGTCTGGGAACGAATGAAACTGTTAATTGAGCCCTCTGCTGCAGTGGGCGTGGCAGCAGTATTAACAGAGAAATTCCAACAAATTCCTGCACAGGATCTTAAAAATGTCGCTGTTATACTGTGTGGTGGAAATGTGGACCTTGATAATTTACCATGGAAAAAATAGCCTTTAGCTTGCGCTTTTCCACAGAAATTTTCTTCATCCTAGCTCTCATTTGCAAAAGTCACTAATGCACAAAATGAAACCTTTTTCTTTAGGTATTTAAGATTCCATTTAACTATCTTGCTTACATTACAATATCCAATGAATATAGACACCAAGGCAAAGGACAGAGACTTAGAAAGTTACATTAGAAAGTTTCCTTTTCTAGAGGTAGGAATTTTAAATAGTTTAGCTAGAACTGTCATTTGTGGAAAAATGTCTATTTTATGGAGGTTCACATGCGAGGTTCAGTGCACACTTTCAGGTTTCCTTCATATAGTAGATTAAAATAGAGTTTTTATATGAATTATTGTCTTGTTCAGTTAGGACCAAGTACTGGAGCATTCCGCATGTAAGCGGTTTCCCCGAAGAGACTTTCAAGCAGTGTGCAAAGAAAGTAGTGTCCAATAACCCGGGGCTTGTGGATTTTGCTATCGGGCTAGTGAATGCTGTTTTTAACTTTCCCGACGGGCAAGTGACCTTTTTTGAGGAATTCGAATAAGAAGAACTGTGAAGTCAATTCTGCTAGTCAAAAAGGTTTTGGGGCTAGTTGAAATGACGCCTGAGCTAGTAAATGCTAGCTTCAGCTTGCCCGAATGGCAAGCTGTAAAAATGATTTTCTGTGCACCCTGCTTTCGAGGGTATTTAATTAAAATAAAACTAACAAATATTGAGAAAAAGTGAATGTCTTTCATCTAAAGCATTCTTCTATAAGTAGCTTTGTTCACAACCATTGATAATTTCCACTTAAATATTAAACAAGATTAAATTTTAGGATGAAAATTGTTCCTTCCAACGGGTAAGGAATTTACCTTTTCAAATAACCTGCTGATTTGAAACCTTTAAGAAGGGATGAAGACTACGTAAAGAGGATTATTGTATCATCGCAAATGTATACATGTATACGTATCTCATTCAGTTCTACTTTTTTTATCAGCTAGTTCTCAGACTCTAGAAACACAGCCAATGGTGGAAAACAAGTTTGAAACTTTTTAAAAGTTGTGTTTTCTTTCTACAGTGGCGACTTCTTAAATCTAGTCCCTTGTCCATCCTTACTCGTATGGGGAGAAATAAAATTAAGTATTTGACAACAGTTTATTCTTCGTCGCTGTCGTCATTTCGCATAGTAGTCTTTTCAGCGTCACGCGCACGTTTGCGTGCGAGATATCTCTCTTTAGCAGACATAACAGTCTCATCTGTACTTCGTTTAGCGAATTTGCCAACAGTTTCTTCTTTCACCTTTTCTTTTGATTCTTTAGGTTTTTGGTCGACGTTACTGCTTTCTTTGTCAGTTTTTTCCGCCGAGTCTATTTCTTTGCGATCCCGTTCACCACGATCGCGTTTACGATCTCTCTCTCGTCGATCATCGTGGCTGGTTCGACTATGATCTGAGTGTCGATTATCATCGTAGCTTGATCGGTGTCTTTCGGAATGACTCGACTTTTTACGATGTTCTTTATCATGCCGTTCCTTGTCACTGTGTCGCCGTCGTTCCCTTTCGGGCGAATCTGACGATTGTTTTCGTCCATCTTCGTCGCTTTCACTATCTCTTCGTTTCCGCCTACCATGATCTTGATGTCTTGAATGTCTGGGACTACTCGGGCGTCCTTTACTTTCACGAGAGCTTTCCTCACTTGTTGAATGCCTTTTGTCATCTTTATTTTTATGCTTTTCAGATTGTTTATCATCAAATGTGTCTTGAGTCGCCTCTCCTTCCTTGAGTTTTGATTTGCCTCTGTTATTTTTCTCCTCATGTGAATCTGTTTTTGTCGCATTGTCGGCGGTAAATGAGCCTCCCAGTGAAACGTTCCGGTTTAAAAGATTCCGATAAAATAGGCTTAAATCCTTCTGCTTCGTCACATCATTGGCAGCTACAACAACAACAACAACAAATTAAGACAGGGACTAATTGGTTTCCACGGAACAGCTCTATCCGTGGTATCAACAACAAATATAAAAGCCAAATGTAGAAATGGGTGTAGTGCAACTTCTTTATAATTGCGAAAACACGCCAAAGGATGAAACTAATTGTGCATGACTAAAACATGAAGTTTGACGATTGGTCTCCGTGGGACCTTCCATATGCACTTTTTGTTATGTAGTGGCAGAAAATCATTACCCTACGAGCAACCTCGCCATTAATGTCGGCCCCAGAGCTCTTTTGCGCATAGAGGGCAGCCTGAAAGGCACTGGGGTCAAGAATAGGTCTTCATTTGAGACCGTGAGAAGCGAAGAGTCATATGCCGCAAGCTCAAAGGCCATAATAATGTTTCCTTCTAATTCATTCTTTGGGCGAAACAGAAGTGGAAATAACAAAAGTAAACAAAACGTGGCTGAGCTAGAGGTCAAAGCGAACACATGCACATCCTCTCTAGTTTTCCTTAGAAGCTGTTATTTAAAGGCACACCTCGAGTCACGACGCCCATGTGAAGGGAGCTTCTTTTCGGTAGTATGACGTTTCTAGATCTTAAGCAACGACGATGGCGACGGCAATGAGAAAAATAAGCCCCGGGGCCCCGAAAATAAGCCCCGGGGCTTATATTTTTCAAAGGCCCTTTTTGAGGGGCTTATTTTTGGAGGGGCTTATATTCGGAGGGGCTTATCTATGGAGGGAAATTTGCGTCTCATAATCAATTGGGCTAGCCTCACAGTTGAAGGTAAATTTACCGTTTTTGCTTTGTTTTACTTTGTATTTGAGGGAAATATTCCAAGTACAAGCCCTCGGGGGGGCTTATATTTGGAGGGGCGATTTAACGGAGGGTTTTTTGCGTCACCGGTTTGGGGGGCTTATATTTGGAGGGGCTTATACATGGAGGGGCTTATTTTCGGAATTTTACGGTATCTCGTGTCAATACTACATGAACAATCGGCATGAACCGGGCCGACCTCCAGATCAAAAGTCCGACCCAATTATCCACTAAAATGCTTCGCTTTCCATCAATACTTAGACTCACCATCAATGGCCTCTTGTCGTTTGAGTCTCTCTTCCTCCTCTGCCTGTTCCTGCATTTTCTTACGGAATCTGAAGTAAATTGCGTCAAGAATAAAACAACCGAGAACAAAGAAAGGTGAGTGTTATAAATTCCTTGCAATTTCTTGGCCTTCATTAACGCCGTTGAAAAAACTCAAATGAAGACAAGGCGTCAAGTGTGCAGTTTCCTTCAGGCTTCACATTCAAGGAACAATACCGGCTGACCGGCAGAAGTTTGATGTTGGTTAAGTTGGCTCATGCTCGTGCCCAGTCGCAATTTCCCTTTTTTCGGCGGTGAAAGATGTTAGACTGAGGCGCGCGGGAGTAATAGGCCGGGGCAAAGGAAAAACAAAATAGAGCCGATATTTTTTCCCTCGTTCCTTTGCAAATCTTCAACATAAAAAGTCGCCTTACGGATATTAATCAAGGCAGGCTTATAGTCTCAGTGACTAGGGCTAATGATGCTAAGTACATTTGACCGTCCGAACCCTATTTGTTGCAAGACAGGTTTGAACGTGGTTGGTAAAACACGCAACATAACTTTTTAACTCGTTTTTCAGCAATGTTTTACAGCAATATTGCAAAACAAGTTGCACGTTTAAATTTGGGTTGTCCGTTTTACCGAAGCTTTTCTTGCATCATACTCGAGAACGCAAACGTGTGAACTACAATTAACGATAAGAACTTTGCAATTTATCCAAATTACCGTATCCTGCTAGACTGTTCACAGTCCCCTATTTTTTCGTGAGATCGTTGAGATATAGCGCGTCTTACCGTTAATGTCGGCCATCTTGATTTTCAAATGTACCGAGGCAGCGGGCGTCGGGGATTATAGCTCTAAGGGGAGGCAGGCGAGAAAAATAGCTCCTCCCAAACCGCCCCCTGCCCCCTAAGTAGTTTTGACACTCATGCAAGATGGCAGCCCGTAACGCAAAGCGCTCGATCTCGACGATCTTACAGAAAAATAGGACTGTAAACAGTCTTACTAGTACCCTGCTAGCAGGAAGATCGAAGGAGACTCTGTTCGCAGGGTAACTTACCGAGGTGAAAACAACAAAAGAAAAGACACTGCTTGTAGCCTAAGCCAGTAAGTAACGTTTTAAAAAAAAGGATACGCCTCAGTAACAAAAGCTTCTTTGTCGTTAAATTGTCCCTCTTCGTTTTCTCTTTCCTTCTGTACTTGTCGTTCCACTGTGCGCTCATACTCTCTTTTCCGGGCTGCAGCAGACTTCAGCAGACCCTCTATGTACTTTGGCTACAGTTTTGCAAATTTCCAAAAGGTTAACGATTTTTACAGCTATTTCGAGAAAGGTTGTCGCAAAAACTGTGCACGCGACAATCCGAAAGGTAATATGGAATATGATCAATACACTTGTTCCTGACATTGCAGGTCTCGAACCTACTTTTGTTGCTTTCCTTTAGCACTCGCAAACAAAGGTGGCCTTTCTTGCCATTCTTTGAAATTTCTTTGAAAAACAGTGAACTGAAAACCACCCACAATACCCTTCGGGATTGTCGCGTGCACTTTTTCCGACAACCTTTGGCTCGAAACAGCTGTATACTAACGAAAGATCTCACACCACTCAAATTTTTTTTAAGTCGAACTTCCACTAACAGCCAGCTCTCTACAACGGCTACTTTTTATGCGGACAGTCCATACATTGACTCTTGTTTACACCTCTCTACAATGGGCACTTTATAGTGGTGGCAGTTCCCACTGCTTGAAATTCGATAACTTTCGTGACACGGCTCTTTTAAGTTAAAAGGAGACATTCAGGAAGAAAATAGGCGTTTTCCATCAGACCATGTTCCAAACATGTCACCACACTGGATTTTCTTTGGCTTCTCCTCATGAAATTTTCCTCATGCATGCACATGCACAACAACAACTCACTTAAACACGTCACTCAAGTAAAAGACCTCGGAGTGAATATCTCGCCGGACCTCAAATGGGACACTCACATTAACACTATCTTAGCTAAGGCCAATAGGATGCTCGCATCTTTGCGCGGCAATAGTGTTATGTCATTCATTACAGACCATAGGAGATTACTATATCTCACGTTTGTAAGATATCATGGCTATGCTTGCGAGGTATGGGCTCCCAGTACGATATGTAGTATAACAAAAATAGAGAGTCTTCAACGCAGGGCATCAAAATTCATCTTAAACACGCAGTGGCAAGAGGATATTTCTTATCACAAGCGCCTTTCTCGCCTCAATCTGCTACCGTTAACATACTGGCATGAAGTGAAAGACTTAATTTTTTTGTCGCGCTGGCCACTACACGTTTACCCATGTAGATGATTACGTCAAGCCTACAGGCATTCGTCTCACTCGCAACAGCTCTGATCAAGACTTACTAATTCCCAAGTGCCGCACAAAGCTCATTCAATTTAGTTACTTTAAACGTATTGCTTAACACTGTCTTAATTTGAGCCTCGGTCTGTTGTGTGTCCCACACCTTCGTCTCTCGTTTTTGTGACTTGTTCAAATGTATTTTTTTTTCCTAGTCTTATTTTAGCATTATAATCATGGTAAACGCGATTAAATACCGTAAAATTCCCAAAATAAGCTCCTCCAAGTATAAGCCCCTCCAAATATAAGCCCCCCAAACCGGTAACGCAAAAACCCTCCGTTAAATCGCTCCTCCAAATATAAGCCCCCCGGGGGTTTGTACTTGGAAAATTGCCTTCAAATACACAGTAAAACAAAGCAAAAACAGTATTTCCTTCCAACTATAAGGCTAGCCCAATCAGTTTTGAAACGCAAATTTCCCTCCGTAGATAAGCCCCTCTAAAAGGGTCTTTGAAAAATATAAGCCTTGGGGCTTAATAAATAAACATGTGTACCTTTCTGTCTTTCTCTGGAACTTTTACGTTAGCAGCTTTCTTCTTCTCTTCCATCTCATCATAAACAGCATCGTACTCATATACAGTTGGATCTTCACGTAGTGCTTTTTGGATTTCAATCTGTGTCTAATGTCAAAGAAAAACAATGTATTCAATTTCCAAGGAGTAATAGCATAAAATCCAAGTTTTAAGCCCTCTGATACGCACCCCACCTCCCCAATTTTAGGGGAAGACAGTTATTAAGTCCCCCTTGTCTTTTACAGTGCAACTATTACTTCTTTCAAGTGTCCCAGTTTGAGTAGTCACACTGTAAGCCCCCCTCCCTCCCCTAAGTTGCTCTTTATTATAGAAATATGTTACACTGATGTGGCCAAATTTAATCTTCAAAATAAATCTTATTTTATTGAACACTTTTAAGAGAAAATGATGATTTAAACTTAAAATTAGAAAAAAAAAATCAAATTTCACCTTAATATTAATAATACAGCCAAGCAGAGGATCATTTTTTGCTGTATTAAAACTATTTAAAACTTGTATACATTGCTTTCAAACCAAATAACTGGGATTTTACAGTAATTAGTAATAACATTAAGATGAACAGAATGCAATTATATATTCTTTACCTGCTTCATTTGCTTCTTCTTTTGAGCCTCTTGAATTAGCGATAAATTCACTTCTTTGTGAGCGCTATCCTATGGAAATTATTCGTAACAGTTAATTATATATTTACATTAACATTTCAGTTCAACTAATCCAAGAAGGAGGCGCAAAATTAGGAGGCTATTAAG